TATTTTGATTTTTTAATTTATTCAAAAAAATTTTTTAGTCTCAGAGCCCCATTTTCCTAGCAAACCTCCCATATAGTAAAGATTTTTCAGTTCTGTCTAAACCCTTCTCCAGAAGCAAAAATTACCTTCTTAACCCTTCTGGTGCTACTTTCTTGACCCACCATGGTCATAAATATTATAATAGGATTGATATTGTGGATCAAGAAAGTATGTCATTCAGTAGGAATGCTAATGATTATGGTTATGACCGGTCATAACTGGTCATAACCGTAACTAAAATCAGTTGGTCAAAGGTTTCTGACCGACTGGTTGACTGACTGATTTTGACCAACCGTTTGATCAAACATTTTTTAATTAGTAATCTAAGAATTCTTTCATTTAATTAACAATCATTTTATTTATGTAATTTTTTATAAATAAAAATTTTTTAATTTATTTTTAAAAAAAGTTCACGATAATTCTGTAAATATGAAAGTAAACTTAGTTACCATGTTAGTATTATTTAAAAATTAACGATCAAGAACTTTAAATGATATTATTGTTATATGGGCCGGTCAACCGGTCAATATAACCGGTCGGTCAAAGGCCTCTGACCGACCGTTGACCGACCATGACCGACCGTTACCATCCCTATCGTTCAGGGTCAATCATACTATTAAAATATTGGCAAATGTCACGTGGGGTGAAAATTGATCGACGTAAAAATTGACCAATCATACAAATATTTGCAACCCGAAAGTTGATTAAAGGCGAGTAAAAATTATTAGTCACCCCTTCGCTTTTTGTTTGTTATGCTAAGTAAAATGAGTTCTATTAGAGAAGAGCAATTGCCAAGGTTTTGAATAGAATGAAATTATATCGCGTGCGCTCTCTTTTTTTATATAAACTAATATAATTTCAAATAGGGTTATCCTACCGTCTGTTTTACGACGTTCAACAATTTTTTCAACAAAAGAAAACTTACCTAAATCATCTCAAGTAACAAAAGCAAGAAGAGTTACCCAATTACCTGTAAATAATGTGAGCAATACCTTGAAGCGACCTATATATGCTGCAACACCTGGCAGTCGTGCTCCTACAACTGTAAAAAAACCGGTAGAAAGGTAATAATTTAGGCATAATTAATTTATTACAACTTATTACTTTAATTAATAAATATGTTGTGATAGGCTTGAAGCTCTTACTACCGCGAGAAAAGAGGCTTTAAATAATGTGAGTCTTGCTAGCAAAGCTATAAATTCGAATATTAATTACTTTAATTTAAAAGAATATTAATAAATTTTGTTTACAGCATTCGCTTGTCAAATCTTTACCGCAATCTACATTAAACGCGTCAAAAATTCAGCCGCCTCAGGGTAATAAAAGTTTGAATCGAGCAAGCTCTTTTGCAAGAAAAAGCAATGGGACAAAAACTACAAGATCGAAAATTGTGCATGAAAATAAAAACAAAGGACCTATTAGACTTCCTAATTTGCAGAAATCTAATGTTTTAACAAGCGGTAACCCACTTACGCGTCTTACACGCGTTAATCCAAATTTGAATCGTCCTTTACGTAACATGGTTACACTAGCACAAAAGACACAAAAACCCGGAATTTCTAAAGTCAATACAATTTCATCTGTGAGAAGTAGGCAAGCTGTTACTCTCAAGGATACTCAAATTCAATTCAAACCAAATCCTATATCTCTTCAGGAAATTTTGTCAAGCCGAACATCAAGTGATGTTGCTAAGAAAAGAGAGACTTTATTAGGTAGAAGACTTAATTCAAAATCATCAACTGCTCCCGGAAAACTTTCGATGTCCCGATCCAGAATGTCTTATTCTTATCGTGTTGAGGTGATAAGTTTACTTTTAAAATTTTATTCTTAAGTTAATTATATTAAATCTATACGTTATTATTATTCAGAAACCTCGAGAAGCAAGAGCATCAATTTTTTCCGGTGCATTGCGTGTTCCTAGAAATAGTGTTAAAAAAAATTCTCGGAATACCTTAATAGGGAAAGATGTACGTATTTGATAGTTAAATTAATATAATAAATTTGGGTATGCTAATTTATCTTAATAACTCAGATGCCTTGTCGAAAATTATCAACTATTCGCGAGTTATCTTTCCGTCCTGATCAAAGCAAGTATATTAGCAAAAATCCAGCTGATCAATCATTAGTTTCACGTGGCGCATTTCGCATGCTCGCACAAAGGCTTCCAACACCGGCACTTCGACATACGACAACTTCCTTCATTGGTATGGGACGATCAAGTTAGATTCAACCAATGGACCGCTGATCCTTATATGTGACATCTGAAGGAATTTGGCGGGCCATTGGAATTTGGATTCAATAACTCACATTATTATTATGTAATTACAGATCAAGGAGATCGTACACAACGAAAACCAACCGAACAAAATTTGACCACTATACATGAGGTGTCTTTGACTCGACAAGTTATCAATACACAACTGCCAGCGAAAGTGGGAAATTCTGAAAAAACAGTTGAATCTCTGGTGAATCCATTGAGAAGAATGAGTATACGTAGACTTTCAAGAAAATCTAGTCTGATAAATGATAATACATTTTCTCAATCAATGAGCTTGTCTTTATCAAAACAACGTGATTCGTTTGCTTCCATTAATAATACATTACCAAAAGTATGTGTTGATGAAAAAAAAATTATTCCCAGCAATAAGGAAAACAATAGTCAACAGAATACGAACATTTTAACTCCAGCTGCAACCCTTACGATGAGACGACCGTCCCAAATTACAAATCAAGTTCTAATTCGTACTTTGAAAGATAATCAAAAAACGCCAACAGTAAAGGAAATTGAATCTTCTAAAAATGAAGATTTACTTACCTTAGCTGCATCTATTCCATTGCCACAAAGTCCATATGATGATAAAGAAGTTTGTTTAACAAAGGAATCTTATAACAATAATTTCTCGAGCGATGTTGAAAAAGCTCGTCTGTATGAAGAACTGGAAGAACTTGAAAAGCAATTAGAACAAGAAATTTCAGAGGATATGTCAGAAATCTTATAAATTAAAATATTGAAAATTTCTTTCATTTCTCTATAATATTTTATTTGATCATTAGAGTACATATAATTATCATATCGTTTGGTGAGTTTTTGTTCGGTTTTTATTTTATTTTTAAACTTAATTTTTTTTTTTCTAGTTTCTATGAATGATCAAATTTAAAAATAAATTATATCAATGATCATAGATAATTAAGTTTACATCTTGAATTCGCGAAGGTTTCAGTTGGACTGACCGACATATAGCTAATATAGCAAAAAAATCATAAACGTTGGTAAATTGGGTAATATTAAGAAAATTTTGAACATATCGAGAATTTTAAATCTCAATTTGCTTAAAACTTGCGATTATCCCATCCTTTAATAGTTTTTCTTTCAAATTTACCGGACTTTTACTTTTTAATTAAACTCATTCTTCAAATATATTTTTTATATAACTGCAAAAAAATTTCTCTTTTTTAAATCTTTGTAAAGAATCCAAAATTACATATAATACGAATTTTTTAATTATATGTTTATTGAAATTTTTAAGAATTCATAACTTGTTTATAACAATGTTTTTATATGTGTTAAATAGGTTTGACTGTACCATTTACAATAAAAATTAAAAGGCGAGTTTCTATAAATCACGAGATGATCGGCCAACCAGGTTTCGGATTTTTTCTTTAGCCGGATAAGCATAATGGGAATTCGGGAAAATGATTACGAATAAAATGCACGTGCAAAAAAAAATATTATTTTTCTGATGATAGAGCTCGTCAAAATTGAGCAGGAGCTGGTTAAATTTATCTCCCGAACCTATATTTTTCTGATGGACACGCATATAAGTTCAGGTTAAATTTATCCGTGTGATTGCTCATCAAAACTGTGCAGAAGAATGAATCATATGACGTAATACAGTATAATTTATAGCGCAGTATTTCACATATTTTATGAAATTATTTATTACATATTCCAAATGCATTTCACATCCTCATACACATTCGCAAAGCAAATAAAATAAGTCCCGAATTATGGGCAGAACTTTATTAAATCGTTTTACAAAAGAAAAAAAGTTACCGTATTCTCCTAAATTGATGGCCGAGACTGGACAAGCTTGTCTGAGCACATCAAACCTTGTGTGTTAAGATTTCAGCCATTACATATTTGATTTCATCTCCAGTTAGATTTAAGATGAATGACGGGGAATAGTTCTAATCCAGACTATTTTTTCTTTACCAATGCTATTAAAAAGCTTATAAACCTTTTCGGATCTCTCTGTCCTTTTTCGCAAAGCTTCATCAGAGAATTTTTGTCTCGGGTATCGCCACCCTAACCTCACTTTTGACTAATGCTTGAGATCCATCCTTACATAACGCTTTTATAGGGATATTTGGCTTGGTTAAAAAAAAAGTGTAGTGATACCGATGTGAAATAAAAATATATGATTTTATGTCACACAAGTATGTCGAGTGATGCGTAATTACATGTGACCCGCTTTCTCATAATTATTTATTTTTGTTGCATAATAAAGCTATTACATTAAGTTATTTTATTACTATGTTACATTTCTAAGCTAATAATACATTAAATGAAGAAGAATTATCTGTTTGTTACTCGAAAAAATCCCTCATGTATAAGAATTTCTTGATAATTTTGCCAAAGAAAACCTAAAGCTATTTTAGCTGATATGTGTGCATCTTCTTTCATCAATTCCATTGCATACTCTCTTAATGTTTCATTTATTGGAAGTTCCACATGAGCCGTCATGATTAAATATCCTATGGACCACATATCAACGCTTGTATCGTGAAAATCTTTAAAAATTTCCGGAGAATGGATCTATCTAAGTGTCGAATGCCAGGCGCAGGATTTTCGGATGCATCTTCGAAATCGATGATAAACCAAGCGTTACGATCGATATATTTCAATACGTTTTCCCATCAGATATCCCGATGAATATACCCTATTTCGTGAAGAACCTGGGAATGGGATGTTTATGTTTATGTATATGTACAGTATATGTATATGTAATCCAAAAAAAACAAAACAATAAATAATCGAAGAAATATAAATACCTTTAGAGCCGATAAAACACAATACAAAGCAATTACCAGTTGCTTCATCGAACTTGGTCTGTGTATCAACCCCTTTGGCGAAAAAATAATATTTGGCAACTTTTCATTATCTCTCTTGTTCATTTGAACTATGTGATCAACATAAGGAACTTGTCTATCATCCATCATACGGTAAATTTTCTCAAGTTTCGCAGGAAAATCTGCTTTGCTAGTGTAGCGTTTCACCACCACATTTTGCATTAGTTCAATTATCTTTTGAGAATTTGGTTGATGAATTATATAAAATTCTTTGTGAAAAGAATTGCCAAGGCCTTTACGAATAAGGGTAATAATCAACCAATGTTTCTTCTGATTACGAAAGCATTCATATACCAATTAATGTTTTAAGATTGCAAGTGATTAAATCTTTCCGATATACTTGATTATCTTCATTGTATAAATAACAGTAAGTTACATCAAAGCCACAAGCATAGTAACCGAATATATAGGGATAAGACCCGTACGTCCATATTAACTTTGATGTCAATTTCTCTGCTGGATCGTTATCAGTGTTTGGACCTTTTTCTTTTCCTCTTGTGAGACAGGCACCATCTAACGTATATAAAAAGTCGGGACATAGCTTTTTTGTAGATGTATTAGAAGACGAATTTCGATTATATTTTCCGTTAGGGCATGTTATATTAATGGGTTTTATGATGAGCGCATCCCAAAATGAGTGAAAAAAATCTTTGGTATTGCCAGTTGTGGGTGAGTTAATTATAGTGATGATATTACTCATTACTCGAAAGGAGAACTCATCTGAACTTCTAAAAAATTTATTCGAATCTTGCTCAGGAAGGTTTGGTCGAATGTAAATTTCATATATCATCTTGGGAATTTCAATTGGTTGGGAAAATAGTTCTTGAAGCCAGCCTAGCAATTTAAAACTGCTTGGGATTCGATCTGGCTCTGCCTCAAACATTTTATGAGTTGAAAAATATAGCAAATTCTCTGTGTTGGAGACAAGATTAAAGGTATAAGTACAAGAAATATATCTTTTATTTATGCACAACCTACCAGTCTTGCGACTGTTTTCAAGTTTTACAGCGGGATCTATATAGCAAGCGTTAATATTTAAATAAAAGTTACATTTATCACGTTCAAGTTGACCAATCATAATGACGCAAAGGCTTACCTTGATTTTTATCTAATTTCCAAAAAAAAGACAAAGTTAGTTACCGAAACAAGATACTGTAATTATTATAGCGCTAGTGCCTAACTATCTCTTTTGACATATGGGGTGAGTGCTGGGAAAAAGGACCAAATCGACAAAAAATTTTTTTTTGAAATAACAAATGATCTGAATCAGATGACCAAATTTACATCTATTTTACTTAGGAACTTTTTTTTTAAAAAAAAGTCAATTTGGTCCATTTTTCCAGCACTCACCCCATATTTTCTCAAAAATTCAACTTTCTCTTCATCTTTTGTAGTTGTCGAAAGAACTTCTATTATTTCAGTCGTGTCTTTGCCAAGGAAAAAAATACGTAAGTCAGTTTTTTTCCATTAGAGATAGGAAGCTTTTCAATATCCGTATAGATAGAACTTGTATTATTAGACATTTTTTATTATTTTATGAGTTAAGAAATAAATGTTAAAAAAAGTAACTGATGAGACTTAAAATTTTCTGAAGAGGTTATATATGGTTTAACATAAACTTATATCAAGCTATATATATGTATGCACTGGTTGAAATAGTCCAAATCAACTATAAATCAGATGGCCGAATTTAGGCTGATTTTGGTATTATTTTCAGCAGGTTTGTTATTTTCTGATCGGCACAATCTATGCTGATCGACCCAAACAGATAATACAAATTGACGCCAATTGATAAAACCATTCGGCATCATAAATTAGCTTCAATTTGGCCAAATCGACGCCAATCAACTCAATTCGATATAACCATTCGACATCAATTCAGAATATAAATTCCATCATAAATCGGCTTCAATTCGACCAAATAAGTATTATAAAAAATCAGCCAATAGCGA